TTTTACATTGTTTGCCTCTATTTTTGCTGTCTTTCTTTATTATCCCTGCTAACATTTACATCTTTACCATTGGCTTCTCTCTACTACTGCCTTTTGCCTTTATTATTGGCTTCTATATAATTGGCATAGAGATGGCATAGATCAGAGGTAGGGCTCTGGCTTTGGAATCACAAGGACTGGGTTCGCGCCCGGTTGCCCCTTTCAGTCGACTCGGCTGGGTGTAAATACTAGTATTCTAACATGAGCATTCTGGGGTCAAAACGGGAAAGGAACCGCCACCCTACCTTATTACTCGGCTTAGTATGCATGTTCCTCTACAGGCATATCCCCTACATCCACTCAGATGTGGGACCAAATCCGACTGATATTGCGTATCTGCATGTTTGGCGCGTCTCGCCTTACCACTGAATTTACATCTTTATCCTTGGCCTCTCTCCATTATTGGCGTCTCTCTTTCGCTTGACATATATAGCTTCATGGATGGCCTATCTCTCTTTGTCTTTATTAGAAGCATCTCTTTATTATAGACGTCTATTTATTATTATCATTAGAGTTTCTTTGTTGGCGTCTCTCTTCACTGTAGGCGGCTGCTTGTTTATTATTTTTTTTTTATTATTTATTTTTTTTGCATCAGCATCTTTATTACTCTTGTGCATCTATCTCTGCTGCTGGCATATCTACCCCGAGATGGGCGTGGCGGCGACGCTGTTTGTTCAGGAGTTCCGCTGTTCGCCGGACATTTGCGTCTCGGGCCCGTGATTGATTTACCACCGCCGCCGTAAACGGGTGTTGATTGATTTACTAGCGTGCACTCGGGCTTTTATTTATTGTTCTGGTTGTGAGCTTCTGTGGGCGCGTGGGGAGGGGGAGGTGGGAGTGGGGGACTTGTTCGTCTGGTAAATGTTTGCATGAAGAAGCGTGTGTGTGTGTGTGTGTGTGTATCTGTGTGTCTGTGTTTGTGTCTGTATTTGCGCTTGCGTTTGCGTTAGTATCGATAGCATTATCGTTGTTGTTTTAACATTGTATAATTGCATGCGTGCGTGCTGGCGAGTTAATTTTTTGTTTGTTTGTACTTCAAATATTATGTTTTTATTTGTTTTCTTTACATCTATATGCATGCGTGTTCAGGCTTTAATGTTGTTGTTTTTTAATTGAATAAGATTTGATTATTTTATATCTGTGTACCTTTACGTTTAAATTTAGTTTCTGCGTCCGTGAGCCCAGCATGGCCGACCAGACCTTCGCTTTCACCTCCAGCGATTGCCCTTGTTAGGGCGCCTCAGAAACACGTGGAGACACAACCGCACAGTCACACACGCAGACACACGTAAACACACACACACACGCAGACACTCACACGGAAACACACACGCAACACAACACACACACACGCACACACACACACACGAGGGCACACACGCGCAAACACACACACACACGCAAACACACAACGCAAACACCACGCACGCAACATACACACACACACGCAAACACACACACAATCACACACTAAGACACACACACACACGCAGACACACACGCAGACACACGCGCAGACACACACACACACACACGCAGACTCACACACACACGCAGACACACACACACGGACACACACACAACACGCAGAACACACATACGAAAAAAACACACCACACGCAAACACTCACACACGCATACACACAGGCAAACACACCACGCAAACACACACACACACAACACACAGGCAAACACACACACACACACATCAAACACACACGCAAACACTCACACGAAATATAGAGATTTGGAGAAGCGAGAGACACCCAATCATGAGGAACTCGACTTCTACCGTGAAGGACCTAACACCAGAAAGCGTTTTCGAAACTAACAACATTACGAGGCGTTGTAACGTCTTTCCGTTTCGTTTCCGTTTCTTGGGGGGGGGAGCCCCACCCCATACGTGGTTGTGGGAATCATGTGTCTTTATGCCGCACTCGACGCACCCGCACGCGCGCAACACTTTTTTTTCCTTCACTTTCTTTTTTCCGTTTTATTGGGGCGCCCGTAATAACGTTTCTATTCAATTAGCCGCTTGCGATAGCGGCAAAGGGAAAGTGATGTGGAAGGTTGATTGCAGTGTGTTGAAGAGAGCGGGTGGGGGTTGGAGAGAAGCGATCTATATGTGTGTGTGTGTGTGTGTGTGTGTGGTGTGTGTGTGTGTGTGTGTGTGTGTGTGTGTGTGTGTGTGTGTGGTGTGTGTGTGTATATATATATATATATATATATACATACATACATACATACATACATACATACATACATACATACATACATACATACATACATACATACATACACACACAGATATACGTGAACACATCACTCTCATCCTCTCCCTTTTTCTTTTCCTGAACCCAGGAGCGCCATGCAAACTAACACATAGCATGGAATTTCTCCTCAGGCGCAAGAGAAGACGAAAGCCAGAAGTTAAGAAAACGGAGGGGAAAGGGGTGGGGTTGGGGGTGGGGGGTTGGGGGGTAATGGAATATGTTTTTCGTTTACGGTCAAGTTTGACTCGAGTTGCCTTGTCCTCAGGTGCGGTGTGATTGCGGCGGGAGCGTGCGATCCCGTAATGAGCGAGGGGGTCGAGGTGGTTGTTTTTTGTGTTTGCGTGCTTGTTGGTGGTGCTTGGGGTTGGGCGAGTGTCAGTGGGAGGTCTTACTCATTTTTTTTATTGGGGACTCTCGGTGTCTTTTTCTCTCTCTCTCTCTCTCTCTCTCTCTCTCTCTCCTCTCTCTCTCTCTCTCTCTCTCTCTCTCTCTCTCTCTCTCTCTCTCTCTCTCACACACACACACACACACAACAACACACACACACACACACACACACACACACACACACACACACACACACACACTCATTGTGTATGTGTTTGTGTTGGTACTTAGTACACAGCTTATGTAAATGGGATAAATGTATTCTCGGGCGACGCGAGTAAATATTTTCGGGCGGATAAGTGGCGGGATAGAGCGAGTGGAGCGAACGGGCGAGCGAGCGGGGCGAGTGGAGTGAGCGAGTGTCGACCTTCACACCACGCGGGATTAAATCTCCGGCGGGAGCGTTCAATTTGTTGACACTAAGAGATTACGCGTAAAAAACCTCGGGGGCGAGAGAAGAGCCACGCTGGGTTGAGAGGCGAGCGGGCGTGTGCGGGCTGCTCTGGAGGCCTGCCAGCTAGGTCGGTCGACACACCTGTACCAGGGCCTGCTCTTCTTTGCCTCTTTCTCTCTCTTCCCTACCTCTCCTTTCCCTCCCCTTCCCTTCTTTTTCCTCTCTTCCATTCACGTCTCTTCTTTTCCTTTCACTTCCCTCCCCTTTTCTTCCATTCTCTTCCCTCCTTCCCTTTTTTCCTCCCCTCGTGTTCTTGCCTCTTTTCTCTTCTCTACCCTTCCTTTCCCTTCTCTTCCTTTCTCTTCTCTTCCATTCCCTTCCCTTCTCTTCTTTTCTCTTCCATTCTCTTCCCTTCACTTCCCTCCCCTTCTCCTCTTCCATTTTCTTCCCTTCTCTTCCTTTCTCCTCTCCTCCCCTCGTGTTCTTCTTTCCTCTTCCTTTTCTTCTTCCTCCTCTCCTCGTCTTTTCCCTTCCATCCCCTTCCCTTCCCTTCTCTTCCCTTCCTTTCCTTCCATCCCCTTCCTTCCCTTCCCTTCTCTTCCCTTTCCTCCGTATCCCTTCCTTTCCCTCCTCTTCTGCCCAGATCCTTCCCATCTTCTCCTCACCTTCTCCTCCTTCCTCCTCCTCTCCTCCCTCCTCTCCTCCTCCTCCTCCTCCCTCCTCCTCCTCCTCCTCTCCCTCCTCCTCCTCTTCCTTTCCTTAACCTCGTGCCCTGTCCACCTTCCACTCCCTCCCTCCCCCGCACCCCCTCCCCCGTCCACTTGCCTTCTTTGTCCCCAGGTCCAAACTGATTAGCAAGACCTCCTACCAATCCTGTTGGGGGCCTTCTCGACCTGTTCTCGAGTTAGGTCTCTTTTCTTTGTTCGTTCCTTTCCTCTGTTGCTTTTCTTATGGCTGTTATGGATTCCTTGCGATATGTTTGTCTTTTGTGGGCTGATGCGCAGCCTTTTCCTTTCTTTTTCTTTTTTCTTCTCTCTCTCTCTCTCTCTCTCTCTCTCTCTTCTCTCTCTCTCTCTCTCTCTCTCTTCTCTCTCTCTCTCTCTCTCTCTCTCTCTCTCTCTCTCTCTTATCCCCCTCCTTCCTTTTTTCCCAGTTTCTTTCCCCTCCTCGCCATGCCTTCCTCTTCCTACTCTCACTTTATCCTTGTCTCATTTAGTTTTATCTCTCTCTCCCTGTCTATCTTCGTTTCTCTTTCCTTCTCCTCTCCCCCTCCTCACTCTCACTTTTCTTTTTCTTTCCCCCTCTCCCTCTCGCTCTCCTTCACTCTCCCTCCTTCCTACTCATCGCCCATCTTCCTGCTCCCTCCCTCTCCGTCTCCCACTCATCCATCCTCTTCCTGCCCCCTCCCTTCGTCTCCCCCTCTTTCCCCATCCAGCACCCTCCCCCATCGGAAACCCACCCCTCTCGAGGCGGCTGTCACATTCCATAAGTTCCATTAGTTTTGTGTGTAATAATTATATCGTTAGCGTGCAAGATATATATATAATGGCCACGCGAGGTAGACCGTTTTTATTTAGTTCTTTCTTTTGTTTTCATCCGTCTGTTTTATTCGGTTTCAATTTTGTGTTATTAGCCCGGCAAATATTACCTTCTGCGCTAGCCTGTCTCTCATTAGTGGTGGCAAGGGGGTCCATTGTCTATCGTCGATATTGATTTATTGAAAAAGTGGTCGAGATAGGCGATGCTGTTCTCTCCGCCCTATCTCCCGCTAATTGTCGTTGTTTGAGTTAAGTTGTTCAGTTGGACTTTATTTTGAAGAAGATGTGAAGTCTTGTATGTAAGTCGTGTATTTATTTTTGTCGTTTTTCCTCCCCTTCTCCCGGCGTTCTTTCCCGGCCGGGTTGCAGAGTTGCTCGGTGCCGGGTTGAACCTCTTTATGGGACGCCGAGACGCGGGTGGATCGAGAACGCTCGGCGGCTGCGGCGGCGGCGGCGGCGGCGGCGGACCCTGCCAGGACCAGCATTAAGGTACTAAGGTCATCGTGTTTCTTTTTGTTCCGGCGATGGGGAGGGGGTTTGATGAGACCTCGTTGGCAGGTTGGGGTTGGCGTTTTGTTAGTGCTGTTTCACTGTCTCTGTCATTCTTTCTCCCCCTCCCCTTTCCCTTCCCTTTCCCTTTCCCCCTCCCTTTCCCCCTCCCCTTCTCCCTTCCCTTCTCCCTCCCCTTCCCCTACCCTCTCCCTATTCCGCTTTCCCCTTTCCTCTTTCATTCCCATTCCCTTTCCCTCTGCTCTCCCTAGCTCCCATCCCTTTTTTGTCGATTGTTTCGGATTGGTTGTGTCATCTGTCGTCTTCTAGGAATGGGCGTGGTTGGAGGTTAACGAAATGAGGTTAGCACAGACGGGAGAACGGGTGAGGGAAGGGATGGAGAAAGGAGAGGGGAGAAAAGAAAAAGGGAGGAGAGGAAGGGAAAGGTAAGGAAAGAGAAGGGAAGGAAAGGTAAGAGGCTGCACGCCACCAAGATCTCTCGTAGATACAGAGGAGACAGAGAAAGGGGAAAAAAGAAGTATTCACTAGAGAAATTTGCCAAGTCATTTTAAGGAGGCGTCAGCGAACACGAAGATATGTTCATAGATGCCATATTTTGTGGACAAGTTGCGTCGTGTTCGTTAGAGAGGGGAGGGGGGAGGGGGGTCTAAGGTGGTGGCAATGCTTAAGGGATTCGGTGATTAGTGGAGGCGTTTTGTCATCCTCCCGACAGGTTATTGGCGTATTGACAGCGGAGTGGGTGTTTGTGCGGAGTGGCTTGGCGGGCGCGACCTGTGCACGGGCGTCTGATTTAGGGAGGGTTGTTGGTCGTGGAACCTCTTATTTAATGTATGTTATTAATTGGCTGGCAAAACAATGGGGGTGTTGTCCCTTTGTTCTCGGGCACTTGGCTGACTTGATTTAAACACGGACTGACTCTCTCTCTCTCTCTCTCTCTCTCTCTCTCTCTCTCTCTCTCTCTCTCTCTCTCTCTCTCTCTCTCTCTCTCTCTCTCTCTCCTCTCTCTCTCCTCTCTCTCTCTCTCTCTCTCTCTCTCTCTCTCTCTCCTCTCGCCTTCCTCGTCGATTAATGGGAATCAAGTTTGGGAACCTCGAGGCGCGTCTCTTTCCTTCGCGTATAAAGCAAGCGAATTGGCGGCTGAGGCGACGGATGAATGAGGAGTGTTGCGCGATTGGCCGGCCACGGGCGGGATGGACGGCAAGGCGATGGGATGCCAGGCTGTCTGTAGGTGCCTTTGATTGGCGGCTGAGTGGTGGTGGCGGTGGAGGGTTGCGTCGACGGCCGTTGGGCTATCGGGCAGCAAAGTGCTTTTCTCGAACAAACGGCTGAACAAACGCCCGAGTGTGCCTAGTAAAACGAAACACTTAAAACGTTGAAGAGCCCGACGCGTACGGCCGCGTAATAAAGCCATGGATGCCCAGCCATTAATCCCGAGGCGCGAGGAACGAGGAAACAAATGAACGCGTGTTGGCGAGATCCGCGTCAGATGTGGAGCCTTAATGAGCAGAGTTATGGTTCCTAAGTTTCCCAAGTAGATTTTGCCAACGGGGGAAGGGGTAGGGGGGTGGGGGTGGGGGCTTTTTTTCTCTCCCTCTCGCCGTTTTTACACGTGAGGATTAATGAGGTTTCTTTGTAGCTGTGCAAATATACTCAGGGTCCTGACTGCTCAGACGTAAATAATACCAGGCCATTATTCATTTAACAGCAGAAGTTAAGCACGAATTCATCACCCTTTTTTCGAGGATTAAACGATTTTTAGACAGGATTTAAAGGGGAACGATACAGAGTGTATCAAAAGCTTTCACAAACGAAGCGCCGACTGGTAGAAGGCCCGGGTCCCGTGCCCTGGGTCGGCCGCTCGAAAAGAATACTTCGTTTTTACTCTTCTCTCCATTTTTACATGAGCTGGATCTCGCTGCCGACGCGTTTTTGTCATGTTCTGGCGCTGCGTGGAAGGATCACCACCCCCTCCCCCACCCACCCCCAACCCCCCCACCTTAATGATTTTGTGCTCTTGTGCTTGATTTCCACACGGCTATTATCTTTTATGCACGGTGGTATTGTCCCTCTGCGGCCATATGTTACAGCCGTTGCCGTCGTTCGCATCAGTAATACAGGGCTCGCGATAAACCGAATATCCCCGAATTAATAATTTCAACCCCGTAATAGGTTTATCAATCGAGAGCATAATGACGACGCTGGCTTGTAAGGGCGTCGTTCCCATGCGAGCCCAATGATCTGATCGTCTTTATTGTTGTCTCACGAGGACCGGTGAAGTGGCAGGCAGCTCCCCTCTCCCCCCCCTCTACCCCCCCTCGCGCGCGCTCTCTCTGTGGCTCCGTGTAATACCAACTTCCCTTGATCATACAGGCGTGTTATCACCTCCAGCACATGTATGATTCATGATGATCAAGTTAAGTGTTTCATGCCACACCACCTCGCGAGGACTGGGGAGGGAAGGAGGGAGGGAGGGAGAGAGGAAGGGGTGGATGGAGGGAGCGAAGGAAAGACGGAGGGGAGGAGGAGGAGGAAGAGGAAGGGAATGGAAGGAGGAAAGGAAGGAGGGAGGAGGGGATGGATGGAGGGAAAGAAGAAAGGAATGAAAGAGGGATGAGAGGGGAGAGCATAAGAGGAGAGGAAAAGAAATGTATAAGGAAGGGGAAGTGATGAACGGAGGGGGAGGAGGGACGGAAACTCGAAGATAGAAAAGAGGAGAATGAAGGAGATGGAGGACAGAAGAGGCCATGAAAAGGGAAAGGAAGAGGAGGTGATATGAGGAGACGGGAAGACGGGAATTAGTAGAAAGAATACAAAAAATAGAAGGATAACAAAAACAATAAAAACAAGTTAAAGACGGATTGTGTAAAATAGAAAAGAAAAGGTGGAAGAATAACGTAAGGAAAGCAATAGCCCCAAAATAAGAAAAAAAAACTATTGGGGAGAAAAGAAAAAGAAATATTGCCCATAAATAGAAATGGAGAAATGAGTTAATAATTGAATGAAAATCCGGGGAAATCGGACAGAAGTGGAGGTGAGTTAGACGACAATAACTCACCCGAAGATTGAAAAAAAATCCTCGTCCGTCTGCAGCGCATGTACCGTTTACCTGCGATTAGCGTGGAAGGTATTAAGGGTCGGGCGGCCCCTTAATTATTGGGGAATTGAGGAGTGAATTATTACGGGAGAGGAGGGGGAGGGGGAGGGGGAGGGGGCAGTCCCGCCACACGCCGTCGCGACTGTCGGCGGGGTTGCTGTCTTGCGTTATGCGGAATGGTCTTACGTCGTCCCATCATTATTTAAAATTCATTAATTCATCATCATCATCATCATCATTATTATTATCACCTTCATTTTTCGTCATCATCAAACCATTCCATCATCATCATCAATCATCATCATCATATTATTGCCATCGTCGCCATCCAAGTTATCACTCGTCATCATCATCATCATCATCATCTAT